TTTGAATGAAGTATCATTGTTGCTAAGTTTAATTTTGTGCTACCAGCGCGTATTCACGAGCCGTCTGTGAAGCAGCTTCTATAGCGCCACGGTCGTTGCTGTGAAAGTACAGTCCTCTCACAGCACCTGATAAGCCAATCAAATCTTAAGATCACGCAAGAAGATACTTGACTTGAAGATATCCTCTGAATCGCCCAGCTCCGTTGATTATCTCAGACGTAAAAAAAAAATCATTAAACGACAAAAGTTTCGGTTGTTTTGTTAGCYCAAGACCACACCAAATTAAATTGGCGAAAAAAAAAGACGAAACTTAATTAAATCCAATATAAAAATAGTCACAAACATACGAAAACTTTTACAATTGATTACTTTATTTTTACTTTTCTATTTCCCTGATAATTTTTGAGGTACATTTTTTTTATTTGTGGATGTTGTTTTGGCATGGCTCAAGGAAGATTAAAACGTGCCCGATGAAAAACACGGCGGGCGCTCTCGCTACCACTTTGCCTGGTGCCTTGAGTCATGTCGCTAAGTTTTGGCGGAGAGACTAAACATAACATATATAATCTAATCATGCAAGTAAAACTGTTCGAATATAGGTCCAAAGTGATGGTGACGCAGGCCACTGTTTCTCATTTGATAAACGTACTGACATGTGAACATTTTATTTTGATATTTATTGGCCATAGTTTTTTAACAGGATTCTTAAAGGAAATGGATGCTAATCTTAAAATTACTTGAATGGGAAATCTTAGAGCATTCTTACAACCTATTTAAACCCTTTTTTATCAGATCGAAAGCCAGGGAATTAAATTGAGTATTTATCACAAAAAAGGGAAAAAAAGATGGTTTATATGTACTTCTTGCTTTGTATATTTGTTCTTAGTTAATTTGTTTAATGTAGCACAAAGAAGAAGAAAAGAGAAACAACTGCGATACTGATATAGTGAAACATATTTACAAATTTGATGGGAAAACACGCCAAGTTGTATTTTGTGTTGATAATATCGTTTTTTTAAGTACGTCATCAATAAGACAAACATTTTTGAAGAGTAAAGCGTGTGGCCGGATATGAACCTCATGAACCTCAAAGGGGAGCTAGAGTCATATTGAGCATTTCCCCTAATATAATTGACAGAGAAACACTTCCTTGAATATTTTGCAATTACTGATGTTGTATACTTGTTCTATATGAATTATGCTGAGCCTTAAGAATTAAGCCCTGTAGTAGTCTATAACCACATCTATCGGGTTGAYCCATCGAGGGATCCAGCTTATAAGAATATTTGAAAGGTAAGGTTGTGGGAACTCGGAAACTGTGTAGGTCAATTGAAAAGTCGATTGAAAGTCATGATTAGGCAATGAAACTTATTAACAACATGGCCACCATCTTGAATTCTTTTGTTCAAAGCATCGATTTGTTTATAACTTTCGTAAGCAGTATTTAACAGGAGTTTGAAGACTCCTCRACAACGAAATTCAATATTAAATCATAAATGGTGAGTGACAGGCATCAAAAAATGCCTATCCTTAGAATGATTTGATGAACAGATTGAAATTCCAATCACGTGCATTTGAAAWCGATTGCTTTCTTTGTCTGGTCTGTTGTTTAAAGGGACACTGTAACGGCCTCTAACGGACTTTGAAAGTACTACTTTCGAGGTAAATCAATGTTTTGACACACTTTGGAATATTCTAGATCTGTTTACGTTTACGAGTACATTTTTTGTCATGCGTCGCGCCAACTTGGAGTCGTAAACTTGAAAACACTAGCCTAATGTTTTCAAGTTWACTCACGCATGTCATCCATTGACAGTGTCCCTTTAAGGTGTCTTCCTATATAATTTTATTTTTCGACCATACCTCTCATTTTAAATTCTTTTTGAAAACCTTGCCATGCAAAAATTTTTTTGGTGTTTGGACCAGAATTAAAGCATTGACCAAAGTTTTGCTTGGCAAAATATTTAGCTCCATTAACGTCACCTAGGCAACGGAAATCGCATTTTGTCAAAACTCGTTTTTGCCAAA